GAGTGTATACTTTATATCCAGGAATGTGTGTACACTAGTGGGAGTGTTGGGGGGATGAGGGTGGAAGACATTTTAAGACATACAGGAGGCTGGCGGTGGTAGCTCATGCCTGTGATTTCAGCACTTTGAGAGGCCAAGGCAAGGGGATCACTTGAGGTCAGGAGTTTGAGACCAACGTGGCCAACATGATGAAACCCTATCTCTACTAAAAATACAAAAAATTAACTGGGCATGATGGCGCATGCCTGTAATCCCAGGTACTTGGGAGGCTGAGGCACAGAATCACTTGAATCCAGGAGCCAAGATCGCGCCGCAACACCCCAGCCTGGGCGACAGAGTGAGACTCTGTCTCAAAAACAAAAACAAAAAAAGACACAGAGGACACAAAGCATACATTCATACGCTCTTTATATCCATACCCATTATCAGTTTGGTGATATGTTATTCTAGTTTCATGAACCTTTACTCTTAGAACTTGGTTTATTCTCTAATACCTTTTGGATTCAGTTTTGCTGTTAAGATGGCTAATACCAATTTGATATTCTTTCCTTTTATGATTGCTCATGTTTTTGTCTAGAACCTTGCATTATAGTATTTCTTTTTCTTTTCCTTGCATTTGTATAGTTGTGAACAACTAGGAGTGGGTTTTGAACAGTTAATTCAGTGAGCTTGTTAATTTTGAAAAGGCTTCAACTGAGGAACACTTTCTTCTCATTTCTTTGATGATAGCTTCTCTGTTTCTCCTTCAGAAAGTCTTGTTTTTTATATGCATATTTACTTTTTGGGTGCACTCTCCTTGTTACTGAATTTTTATTTGCATCTGATTTTTCTTTGAGTTTATTCAGCAAATATTTATTAATAATCTACTATATACTTTGTGCTAGAGGAGTTGACCTAGGGAACTCAAAGGAAGCTCCTTTGAAGAACTGATGCTTGAGTTGAGATCTCAAGAATGAGTAGGAATTAACTAAGACATGAGAGAATAGCTGTTAAGGTAGGGAAAGTAGCATTTGTTTATATATTTGGAGGAAGGAGGTATGATAAGTACGAGGTACTGTAAGAAAGCCCTTGTGGTTGGAGTAGAGAATGTAGTGGGAAGGGACAGTATGAAGTGAGATGAGGCTGGAGAAGGTAGGTAGGGACTTGACTCTCCAGGGCCTTCATGTGAGCCATGTTAAGCAGTTCTTTATCCACCTCCTACCCCCAGCAGTGGAAAGCGTTGGAGAAACTTTTAGTACAGAAGTGATATGGTGAAATTTGCATTTTGAAAGATTTCCTTAGGCTGCAGTTTGGAGAATGAATTAGAGGGATGCCAGGATCCATGTGAAGAGACTAAAGAAGCTAGTATTCTGCAGTGAGAATGATGGTAGCTTGAGACCAGGGCATTGGTAGAAAAAAAGTAGACAGATTTGAGAATGTTTAGGAAGCATATAACCCATGGGATTTGATGATGGACAGATGGGAGATGAGGTAGAGAGAGGTATCAAATATATCCTTAGTTTCTATTTCTTTTTCTGAGTTGGGGTCTTGCTGTATTGCGTAGGCTGGTCTTGAACTCCTGGATTCAATCAGTCTTCCCGCCCCAGCCTCCAAGTAGTTGGGACTACAAGTATGCAACACCACACCCAGTGAATGTTCTTGGTTTGTATTCACCTTGGTGGATGATGGTGCCATTCACTCATAAAAGCTGCAGATATGTGAGAGTGCTCAGGGAGGCAGCACAGAATGGGAAAACGGTCTACATGTAAGCCTTGAGGAATGCCAATGTTTAATGGCTTGGGAGATGAAAGTGAGCCTGCATAGGAGACTACAAAAAAGCTTAGGGGTAGGAAGAAAGCTGGGAGTGTGTGTAGCATCTTGAAAGGCCAATGGGAAGAGTGTTTCTGGAGGGAGTGTTAAAGTTGAATGCTTCTGTGAGCAACCAGTTAGAGGAGGGCTAAAAGTGTCCCGTAGATTAAGTGACTTGGAGGAACTTGATTTGGTAGAATGGCCAGACAGCCTTTTGGAGCATCAACATTTTTTTAAGAAGTTTAACTGTAAAGAGAAGAGAGGCAGGTGGGTAGCTCGAGGGGAATAAGTCACATGAAAACTTATTTTAAATGGGTAACATAGGTGACACTTGTGGCTTTAAAAGTCACACTCCAACTGAGAAAGGTTGATACAAAGGAGAAAAAGGAAAATAGTGTAAGATCCCTGAAAAAACTGTAAGTCATTTAAGACTCCTTTGAAACATGGGCACCAAAGCTAGTCTAGTAGAGGATTTATCATCATTGAGAGGACAGTCCTATTACAGCAGAAAAATAGGAGGAGAGGGTTCTGAAAGAATTCATTGAAATGATTCACTCATTTATTGATCCTTTTTTTTCCTGTAGCATCCAATCTGCCATTCATTGTCTCTATTGCAATTTTCAATTCAGTAAATTGCTTTTCATTTCCATGAAACTATTTTCAGAGTGCCTCTTTTTTAATTGACAGTCAGTCTGCAATTGTTTTATTCATTCAATGTCATCTCGTATCCTGGTGGGTAGTTTCTAATTTTGCGCTAATGAATACTGAGTCTCCCTCTTTTTAACTGCTGCATTAAGAAAAAGTCATCTTATTTTTCTATGTTCATTTTTACACTTTATTTAGCCGAAGTATCTGAAATTGGCTTTGCTAGAAATTGTAATTAGTTCACTGTTGTTATCTTTCAGTCCCAGACAGAAAATTTTAGATTTCTTTCTTTTCTCTTCTTCCTTTTTTTTTTTTTTTTTAAAGGTCATTTATCTTTGGCAGTTTTAGAGATTTAGAAAAGAAAATACATAGACTTGTAGGCAGAAGAAGATACGGCGCTGAGGGAAGTTTTAGTTTTGTTCTGTGACAGTCTTCCTTATCTTGTACGTTGTCTTTAAAAAGCCTACACATTTAGATTTTCATTATCTCATTTGCAAGTATACAGGATAGCACATGTAGGAGAATTGGAGTGTAAGTCTAGAAACCTAAGTCTTATTCTTAACCTTACTGCTGAACCAGCTTTGTAACCTTGGGCAAATTATTCTATTTCTCTGCACCTTCTCATTTGTAAAATAGGTTTAGACAAGTCATTTCTACATTTTGGCTCTGATTAATTACACACATTATCAAAATCAAATTTGTAACTATAAATATGAGTAATTTTTTATTATTTTTATTTTTTAGAGACAGTGTCTTACTCTGTTGCCTAGGCTGGAGTGTAGTGGCACCATTATAGGTCACTGTAGCCTCAAATTCGTGAGCCCAGGCAGTCCTCCTTCCTTAGCCTCCTGAGTAGCTAGGACTACAGGCATTCACCACTATGCCCTGCTTATCTTTTTTAAAATTATTTTTTTCAGAGACAGGGTCACGCTGTGTTGCCCAGGCTGGTCTTGAACTGCCCTCAAGTGGTTCTCCCACCTCAGTCTCCCAAAGCACTGGAACTGCAGGCATGTGCCACCATGGTTCTAATCATTTTTAAAGCAACAATCAGTGGGAAATTTCAGCTCCAAATGGGAGAAAAATTTCCAAAGATTAGCCTTTTTTTTTTCTTCCAGATTTGCTACAGTTTTGTTAATGTGCTTATTTCTCATTACTCATTACCATGGATAACTTTGAGATGGCTGCCTTGGATTACAAACTAGAATTTATTACTATTTCACATAGCTTGGGAAATTAAGTGTAGTTTATGTAGTGTAAATTATCCTTTATAGAGGTGTAGCTGCAAGAGTTATGCATTTCTTCTTTGAACCCCAGGTATGCAGTATATTGCTTAATACTCTATTGTTCAATAAATGTGCGTTCCAGAAGTCAGCTGACTATTTGTCCTTATCTTTGAGGACAAAGTCCATACATATGTAAGCATTAGTGAGCAATGTAGAATATAAAGATTTGGTAGCAGTAGAGAGTTTATGCTCTACATCTCCTGCAGATAATTTGAATATTGCCGTATTATACACTGTGGCCTGTGCTGTTTGTTAATGTTCCTTTTCCCCACCTTCCCCAGGGAGCTTGTAGTCTCTTACTGTATATTTTTTTCTCTTTGGATTTCCCTTCAGCCTTTAGATTTCTTATCTCTAATGCAAGTCTACTCTAAATTTTTCTCCCAAATGTTTAAAACCAAACCTATTATCTCAGTGGTCATCTAAGGTCCTCTAGTTACCAGCATCCACCCTTCTTGGAATGCCTGTTTAGCAGTGTTCTTTTGTTATATTAGTAAGAATCACTCTGGTATTATTTGCTAAGAGAATATAATTTTCTCCACATTGTATGTATCTATGTCCTTTGTTTATAGAGCCTGGAGGGGTTCTCTATTAGGCTGTGTGTCCCTAGGTAAATAGAAAAATATAATGTAGGGTTTTATTACTCAACTTTTTAAGGATTCTGCTCAAATTGTCGTTGAATAACTCTTGTTACTTTGGGGTAACATGTTGCTTAGGGATTTTAACAACAAAATATATAGAGCATTTAAAAAATTATTATTCACTATAATCCTGAGTGGATTAAACCAAATGACCAGGTTCAAGACTCTACTATGAGTTCAGCTTTGCTTAGTAAAAGGCAGCGGCTGAACATTAATTAGTGACTTCTTGGCCCAGCCTTAGAATTTTTCAATTTAGAGATTAGTTTGGTTTTAAAAGGTACAAAATATTCACAAAATTTTCTGATTATGTCAAATATTAATTCAGTCTTATTTTTTGTCGTAGTACTTTGTTTTGAAAAGTTTAGATCAACCGATAATAGTAGTGCTGTGATGAGACTCAGCTTGTAGTCAAGAATAGATTTATGACTAGGTGAGAACTAAAATTTCTCTCAGAAACTAAAAACTTTCATGGACAAATTCAATCCCCTTGAGATTTACTGTTTATGGATATATGCCAATTTAATTATTGGACTAAATAAAATACTCTTTAGTAGTCCACTTATGAAGATGACTGTGTAAACATAGCATTTGCAAGTAAGTACTTTTTGGTATTATATTTATATAATCAGCTCTTGTATCCATGTAGCTTATAGTTGGCTGCTTCACCAGGACTCTACAAATTATTCAGAACCCAAGGAGGTAAGATTTTTATATTGCCTATTTTCAGTATGTAAAAGTCCAGCCACAGAACTATTAATTTACCCTTGACTGTGTATTTACAGTTGCTATGGAACTAAACGTAAAATTTTATCAGATGGTTACTTGGTTTGTTACATTTTTATATTCTAATATGCTGTATATATTTTTTAAAGTCTGGGGTTTGCTTTTAGAAAGTATATTCTATCTTTAAAGAATTAATCATTTGGTAGTTTCATGTGTATATCTGGAAAATAACTACTGTACTTCTTTATAAAAGTGAGAGTAAGTTCCCTGCTAGTTGAGGTTGGAATCTAGATGTGGCTGTGTGTGTAGGAATTAGTAATTAAACAGTGTCTGCTTGCTGAGTGCCTCATTTTTGCCAGGCTCCGTATGGGTGCCTTGCAAGGCATTGCCTCATTTAAACCTTGCAACAGCATTCAGAGGAAAGTATTAATATGCCCACTGTACAGATGAGGAAGTTGAGGAATGCTTTACTAGTAGATGTCAAGTGTCTTAAGCATAGTACCTCCCTCCTCAGCCTCCCTCCCTCATCCTAGTTAAGGGAATTGAGACACAGAGGTAAGGCAATTTGACCTTCAACAGATGACTTAACCTCACTGTGGCTCAGTTTCTTCATGAGTAAAACAGGGTACCTATCTTTTAGGATTGGTGTGAAGATTAAAGAAGTTAATAGATATACAAAACTTTAGAACAGTGCTTGACTAGTAGTAATCTCTCCATCAATGTTAGATGTTGTTATTAAGCCTGTGACCACCGGTTATCTCATGAATTGTTCAGAGATAAAAATGTAGGCTATAGAAAAGAATAAGGAGGAAAGCCAGGCTCCTAATCTAATATAGATGTGAATCTTAGTTAAGACAATCCTATGTGCTTTTAAAAGATTTCATGGTCTGCTTTTCTTTGGCTCTCAGTTTCTTTTTTTCTTCTCTTTTTTTTTTTTTTTTTGACTTCTTAGTACAGGTAACTTTTGAAGGAATTCAGCTTACCTTAGATGAACCAAAGAAAAGCTAAAAGCAGAGATAATTTAGAAAAACTAAAGCAGATACTGTGTTCCTAAATTCCCTGTTACCGCTTCAAAGTCCGGGAAACACCAGTTGCAGATACAGCTGTATCCCATTGTGTTAGACCCTTTCCTGAAGCCATTCTCTTTTCTTTGTCTTCCCAGAGAGAAACTAGTCATTCAACAAAGATTGAACTTCTTCTGTGTGTTAGGCTGTGCTCCAAGTGCTAGGAAGACACCAGTGAATAAAACAAAAAGTCCCTGCTCTCATGGAGCTTACAGCCACTATTCTGAAGTTTGTCTGTATTCATCCTATCCTTGTTTTTATACTTTCACCAAATATGTGTATAGAATTGTTTTGCTGTCTTGTTCAGCATATTGTCTTCTTTTGTTTTTTTAGGAATAGCTGTGTTTATGTAATTAGATCTGTTTTTGATAAATTGTATTCTCTTATTTATTCATTCTACCTTCTAATGAGCAGTTAGGTTATTTCCAACACTGACTATTATGATTCTCCAAAAAGATCATTGAACAGGTCACCTTGGATGGATGGGTGGGAGAGTTTCTTCAAGACAGCATGTTTCATACTTTTTATTGTGACCACAGTAAGAATTACATACACCTCAGTTTAGTAAATACAAATATACACTTGGAAAAAGACTTCAAGAAACAGTATTTACTTACTTTTATCACCTGGGATGCACTCTATTTTGTTTTGTTTTGTTTTCTTGAGACATTGTTTCACTCTTGCTGCTCAGGCTGGAGTGCAATGGCATGATCTTGGCTCACTGCAACCTCCACCTGCCAGGTTCAAACAGTTCTCCTGCCTCAGCCTCCTGAGTAATTGGGATTACAGGCGCCTGCCACTACACCCAGCTCATTTTTTGTATTAGTGGAGACAGGGTTTCACCGTGTTGGCCAGGCTGGTCTCGAACTCCTGACCTCAATTAATCCACCCACCTCAGCCTCCCAAAGTGCTGAGATTACAGATGTGAGCCAAAGTGCCTGGCCTGTTTTATCTTTTTAAAATGCAGTTTACACACAACCCAGCTGATTGAGTTGTGTGTAACCCATACTGATTAAACTGATTTTATCACCCATGTTCATTATTTTTAAAACATTGTTTTGAGATCTACAATTAGAAGTGGAATTGCTGAGTATTTGCTTAAGTGTATCTTCAGCTTCTTCAACTAGCTGTTGCCAGTTGCATTTCAGAGTGGTTGAACCAATTTAAACTCCTGTCAGCACTCTAGGGGAGTTCCTGTTTCTCCACATTCTGATCAACTCTTGATTTTGCCAGATGGATGAGAAATGGCATTTGTTTTAAATGTGCCTTCCCCTATTTACTAATGAAGTGTTTAAAGTGTCTTTTAAAGTATATCATGTAGAAGTTTAATGTAATGGTAATCAGAGCTGGCAGCAAGGAGGAAATATTGTGATTGACTGCCTCCTCTGGCAGAAAAAATGGTGTAATAATCGTATAATGTCTATATTACTTATAATGTGCTAGACACTATACTTTGTGCACTGTATACATTATTTCATTTAATCCTCATAAGAATCTTGTAAGGTTAGTGCCGCCTTATATACTTTTTTTTCTTTTTGGAGATGGACTCTCACTCTGTCGCCCAGGCTGTAGTGCAGTGATGCGATTTCAGCTTGGCTCACTGCAACTTCTGCCTCACAGGTTCAAGCCATTCTTCTGCCTCAGCCTCCCAAGTAGCTGGTGTTACGGGCCTGTGCCACCATGCCTGGCTAATTTTTATTTTTAGTAGAGACGGGGCTTCACCATATTGGCCAGGCTGGCCTAGAATTCCTGACTTCGTGATCTGCTCACCTCGGCCTCCCAAAGTGGTGGGATTACAGGCGTAAGGCACCACACCCAGCCACCTTCTTATATACATTTTATAGAGGAACAGATGGAGAAAGAGACTCATAAAGGTTCAGTAGTCACACTATTACTAAGTAGTAGAGCCAGAATTTAAACTCACGTTGGTCTGATTTTGTAACTTATTTTCTTTAGTACTTCATGCTATTGGTGAATTCTTAGAGGAAGAAAGTTTGTCATTACTATTCTCTTCTGTTGGTTTGTCTCTTAAATGTGTTTAAGTTTTTGGGTTTCACTCACATCTCTTTTTTTCTTACCTTTTCTCAAGATAGTGGAGTCTTTCCTATGTAAAGCTTCACCTTGTTTCTAGTCTAGGATAGTGGTTTTGTAACCTAGGATAGTGGTCTTGGTTACTGCAATTTTGGTTGATTATTTCTTGTTGGCCCTTAACGTGCCCCCATCTTCTGCCTTAGGCATTGCATCTAATCTTTTCCAGCAGTTTGCAGTCTTACTGTGTCTCAGAATCACATATGAAAACTTAAAAATCATAGATACCTAGGTTCCAACCCTGGCAATTCTGATTTGGAAATACTTATTTTTCTGTTGCACAGCCATGGTAGAGACCCATTTTCTTAGGGGTTAACAATGCTTTAGAGTCACACAGACTTGAAGCAGAGCCCTGATGCCATTAAACTTATTAGTTGAGTGATCTTGGCGAAGTTATTTAATCTTGGCTAAGGTTCTTCATCTGTAATTTGGAGATAATATTATTACCTGCCTTAGAGAGTTGTTGAAGAGATTAAATGAAGTAATGCTTGTAAAACACTTACCAGAGGGACTTAGACTGCTTCTTAAACATTGCCTGCTAATAAGGTGTCATTATTACGTTATTCTTTATCCAATCAAAATACTCACCTTTGCAATGTGTATCAACTTGATGTCAGAAAAATAATCTGATAAATATCACCGTAAAGGATGAATGATAACTAGTTTTCATTACTTACGTTCCACTGTACTAGGAGGCAGAGGCAGATGGTTTTATCATGCCAATCAACCAGTCTTTTCTGCTTATGTATCAGTTTGGACCTACGTGGAAAATGAAGGGGAAAACAAATGTTTTTCTTTCCTTCCTAGGAGGATTTTCTTCTTGCCCTTTTTCTCAAAGTTCCCTCTCTGAGCTGAGTATCATTAGCATCATCAATACCCTAGGCTCAAAGCTGCATAGTGATTTACCTAGATACTTTTCTCCGCCATTATTCCCTACTACCTAACTCCTCTTCACCTCCATTAAATTTCTGTTCGTCATGCTATCCTTCTTTCGGATTGCCTTTAGTTCAATTGTGACTTACTTGATTATTTGAACCCAGGTCTCTACATTTCTAAGCTATTGTTCAGGTAAGGGCCAAGGTAAATTCTGACCAGCTGTCTTTTTGCCTTGTGTGGGCCCATTCTAGACCAGGGAGTGTTAAATTTTGAGTATTGGGAAAGGATTCGATTAGCTGAGCCTTCAGGCTTGTCAGCAGGACTGTCACTAGACCCTTTGATTTTCTTTATATACCTAATGGTCATAGAGTATAATAATAATGGTACATGTTATTACTATTTGATTAATAGATTACTAGTAGTAATTGTGTTATATATGTATATAGTACACTTTGTTATCTGTATATATAATTGCTTGCAACTTGAAATTTGAGGCTAGAGCTTTTATAGTAATTTAATAACTTACTTTATCAAAGACTGAAAAACCTCATGGAAAAGGTAGAATGTAAGCTAGACTTAAAAGCATAGGTGCACTTTTTTCTATAAATAGAAAGGATGAGGCAAGAGTTTCCAGTTAAGGAAACTGACATGAGCAAAGGCTTGAAGGAGCATGCAAATTTGGAGCATTGTGAGTAGATTATTTTTTAGGTTTTCAGAGTTCATGCAGTGACGATAAAACTAGGGAGTTTGGAATCAAGCTTGAAAATCCCTGAATGTTCAACCAAGATATTTGAATTAGTAGGTTTTTTGGGTATGTCATGAATTTGCTTGGCTTTTCTTGATTGATACATGTACAACTTAATCCTGAGCTTACACATGTTCATTGTATCTTTAAACACTTGGCCTGGTTCGTTTAAGTTGATGGCCACTGCCAGGTCTCCTTTCTGCCTTCTCCCCTTTATCCCAGTGCTTTAGTTTTTTTCTGCCTTTTTGTCTGTTGTGCGCTGTGCTTCGTCAGGCTTTCCCCCAGTTCCTCCTTGTTAATCTCCAGATTCAAAGTTGGCAACACAATGAATATCTGCTTAATACAAGAGTTTTGAATTCCTGCATATCTCTTTCACTTACTAAAAAGATTGTTTGGTACATATTTTGTTGATAAGACAGTTATTGACTTTTCTGTTTCTCTTCCTTTGCAGACCTAGAGGATCAAGACATAATGGGAGCATTTTTAGACAAGCCAAAGATGGAAAAGCATAATGCCCAGGGGCAGGGTAATGGGTTGCGATATGGGCTAAGCAGCATGCAAGGTTGGCGTGTTGAAATGGAGGATGCGCATACGGCTGTGATCGGTTTGCCAAGTGGACTTGAATCGTGGTCATTCTTTGCTGTGTATGATGGGCATGCTGGTTCTCAGGTTGCCAAATACTGCTGTGAGCATTTGTTAGATCACATCACCAATAACCAGGATTTTAAAGGGTCTGCAGGAGCACCATCTGTGGAAAATGTAAAGAATGGAATCAGAACAGGTTTTCTGGAGATTGATGAACACATGAGAGTTATGTCAGAGAAGAAACATGGTGCAGATAGAAGTGGGTCAACAGCTGTAGGTGTCTTAATTTCTCCCCAACATACTTATTTCATTAACTGTGGAGACTCAAGAGGTTTACTTTGTAGGAACAGGAAAGTTCATTTCTTCACACAAGATCACAAACCAAGTAATCCGCTGGAAAAAGAACGAATTCAGAATGCAGGTGGCTCTGTAATGATTCAGCGTGTGAATGGCTCTCTGGCTGTATCAAGGGCCCTTGGGGATTTTGATTACAAATGTGTCCATGGAAAAGGTCCTACTGAGCAGCTTGTCTCACCAGAGCCTGAAGTCCATGATATTGAAAGATCTGAAGAAGATGATCAGTTCATTATCCTTGCATGTGATGGTATCTGGGATGTTATGGGAAATGAAGAGCTCTGTGATTTTGTAAGATCCAGACTTGAAGTCACTGATGACCTTGAGAAAGTTTGCAATGAAGTAGTCGACACCTGTTTGTATAAGGTAGCTAGACTTTTTTAAGAAGCATAAAGTGATTTTATGTCGTATTAATCACTACCCTAGTATTTAATCATCTTAGAATCTGTAATTCTGAAAACTAAGTTTTTGGCACAATTGTAGGATACTGTAGGATACTGTTCACCAGTTATGAAAATATATCATAGGAACACTATGCAGAAATAAATTACCCAGTTACCATATCTGCAAGAGTTATAAGCTGAATGTTTAGTCTTACTACTTGAGCTTTGTAATAATGTGGAAGATTATCAAAGGTAAAAAGATTTTATCAGAACGCATGTTTTGAAAGAAAGAGGGTGGGGAGGGTTAGGCCTTAGTGTCTATAAATGAAAAGCATTTTAGAGATTTAATATTTTGACCATGTGATATCTCAGTACATTTATGATATCCTAATACTTTGAAACTAAGGTTTAATGGGTCTGTAGCACTTAAAAGAGGAATGTAGTGATCATTAGATGTGATGTAATAGAAATAGCCTTGTACATGGAGTCAGAAGGACTTAATATGAGACTGTATGGTTTTAGGTAAGCTATTTAAACTCTGAATAATCAGTTTTTTTCATCATAAAAAGGGTAAGACATTATTATGTTGTCTGATGGGGTTGTCAGGAGGATCAAATAGGATAATATACATAGGTGAGCTAGCTCAGCCCCTTTATTTTACAAATGAGGAAGCTGAAGCCAGAGAAGGTTCTACAAACTTTAACGAGTCAGACAGACTTGAGACCAAAGCCTACCTCTATTACTTTTGTACTCTACATTCCTGAACAAATTGTTCAATCTCTCTCAGCTTTAAAATGGAGATAATAGCATCTTATAGGACTGTTGAGGAATTAATAAGCATATGTGTGTGTGTGTGTGTGTATATATATATATAAAATGCCTAGTTTAGCATATAATACATGCTACACCCTTTCCTAGAGATATTATAAATGACTTGTACAAGGTTTTATACATTGGTAGCAGCATTAAGACTAGAAAATCAAGCCCTTGACTTGGGTTCAGTGTTTTTTCTGCCACACTCTGTTCTGTTTTGTCAATAATGCTTATTAACTTATTCTTTGATTTTTTTTAAAACAAATGTTGACTTTTAAAAATTCTTAGATATATTTGATACTCAAATATTTTAATTACAGCATTTGAATACTTAGATGTCTTTAAAAATGAATGTAGTTCCTAAAAGTTGTCAGTTTTTAAAATTATACAAGTTAAAAGCTAGTTTATAAACCTTATGTGTAGTTTTACCTCTTATTTCATATTTCTACTTATGAAGCAAATGTATTAGCCCCACAATTTATAATTTATTTTAAATGTAATTTTATCAGGTACGTGTAACTGCAGGTCAAATCCTATTGTAAACAATGCCGCTAAAATTTTTTGTCATGTTGTATGGAATGAATGTGTGTGTACATGTATATTTGTGTTAGGTATCACTTCAAATTAAGTCACCAGTAAATGTTTACAAATAGTATTGTTTTATAGAATTATAAAAAATTATTATTACAGTGCGATTAACCTGTAATGTTTCTCTCCTGTCTTTTGGAGTATTGGTTATACTGTATTCTCTCTATACTGTTTGGGGGAGTGGGAGTCATTGCACACACACACGCGTGCGCGTGCACGCGCAAATATATAATTTTTCTCCCTAAAAGTAACATTTTCACTAGAACAAGTGTAGCTAATTGGCACAGCTGTAAGGGTTCTCAAGGCTTTGAAGAGCAAAAAGAAAACTCAGATTTCTCAAATTTTTTTCTTCCCAGGGAAGTCGAGACAACATGAGTGTGATTTTGATCTGTTTTCCAAATGCACCCAAAGTATCGCCAGAAGCAGTGAAGAAGGAGGCAGAGTTGGACAAGTACCTGGAATGCAGAGTAGAAGGTGGATCATTTAACAAAAAATAAGTAGCTTTATTAAAGAAAAATCTTCAACACAGTCAAACTTTAACATTTTAGCTTTTAGATTTTTATGTGTCTTTGACATCTAGTGTCTAGTGTACGAAAGTGGAAAAGGACATTTCTGTAGTAACTGTTAAGATGTATGCAGTTGTCCTATCACAGTTATATTAGAAATAACAACTAGCGTGGAAAGTAACTTACAGTCTGTTCAGGATACTTTTGTTTTAAAAGGCTAAAATGTTTGTGCGCTCTAAAATTCTTAATTCACTGGCATGAGTAATTTTATGCCGGGAAAATCTGATTTGTGGTTTATTTAATTACAAAGAGATTGTGATGGTGATAATTTGAATACCATCTTTCTATGAAAAGCTGTGTATATTAATTTTTAATCTCCAGGGCCTTTTTTCTATAACTTGAAAATCACAGACTCGTCATTAGCAACTTTATATACACAACTTTAAAAAATTTGCTTTAAACTGTTTCAGAGCTTCTTACCTAAGCCATAAACTGTCTCACCTAAACAAGATAGACCTCAATAAAAGACATAATATTTCTCCACCTGGCAGAAAAGTAACTGCCAAGTAAGATTAAGAAATAAGTTGGGCATTTCTGAAGTATATTTCTCATAATTCTGCAAAGACTTCCAGTTTATTGCATATATGCAGTAAGTGTATATATTATGCAGTTTCTCTAAGCAGAAAAACTTGACTTTGATAGTGTTAAAACATGAAAATGCTGGTGAGCTGGGGTAGAAAAAAAGTAAGAAAAAAATTAAATTAAAAAAATAGCGTTAAAATGCATTTTAGGTTCCTAATGTCGTTAATTTGCACATTAAAGACCTCTAATCGCATGCAAACATTGACCTGCCACACCTACATCCCACTGTGCCTGCATTATTAAAATTACTATTCACTTTAATTTTGTTTTTTCCCTTTTTACTGTTTGATACCAATCATAATCAGTCTGATACTAGAATCATGATTGGTTTTGTTCTTTAGTACTGTCTAGAGGTTACTATTTTGTTTTTATTGCCGTCCGCCACTTGATAGTCATACATCTAGTATGTGTTTGTACTATTTAGTATTGCATTCATTGGACGTACTGTTCAACGAATTTGTCTCCTTACTGTTACCAAGGGTCTTGGAATTTTTATATTTTAAATTAATCATTCAGTATAAATTATAGGTATTATAGTAACATTTTAAAATATTTAGAATGCTACAATCATTGGTTCAAACTGTTGATTAGTGGAAAAATATAAATTCGTAAGAATAATATGTATAGGGATAAGTTGATATTTAATGTATTGGCACTTTAACTTGGGCACACATGTTTTCTTATTGGTTGAAAGAAATAAGTATTTTAATATTTTTACTATGAAATGGGATCCAATTTTAGAAATGAATTGCTGCTTTTTTCTTTAGTGTGTACTCTTTAAGTTTTAGATGGAATTATGAAATATTCACTTTACGTAATTTTGTTACAATAATAAGTTTTATATTTCTTATCAAGCAAGAGTTGCCACCTGGACAGAATTTACATTGATACTCAATATTTTTAATATGTTAAAATGTTATTATACTTGTACCATTCAATTGGAGATTGTCATAAATTAAATATGGTATTTTTTACTCAGATTTGATGAGACTGCAACTAGAAATTAAATACTACATTAAAATTGCTGCTATTTTAAAACATAGAATGTAACTGTTTGTATTGTAAAAGTTGTTGTATGTCCTCAGTGAAAAATACTGCCTTCAGCTTCCAAAGCAGGCACCCGAATGCCTTTTTCTTTTCTCTCTCTCTCTTTCTTTAAATACATGCCTTCACTAGATTGCTGTGACCTACTAAACCTCATTTTATTTGCTTGGAACATTTTTGGCTTCTCTGTCCACAACATAGAAAAGGAAAGGCCTTCCAGCTCTCCTTTTCTGTTATTTGTTCCCTTCTAAATACTTGAGTCTCTGGGGGTGTGAAAAGATTCAGCTCATAATTTATACTACTATTAATTTTGTGGTCCGTCTAAACCAATTTAAAATTATACTTTTATGTATATATTTTCAAAATCTTTGCTACTGACTACCTTACCTTTAAAGTTGCTAATTTGAAGATAACTGATAGAATCCCTGAAACTTGGTGGAGGGGAGTGGAAAGGAGCAGAATGTGTTCGTGTATATGTATGTGAAACATGGATCTTCTATACATAAATATTCTTTAGAAGAAGCGTTCAGTCTTTACAATTCTAAGTAAAACGTATAGATAACAGAAATTAAAGGAATATTTCTTAAAAATTCATTTCTTTTTCTTTTTTGAAAGCAGACAGAAGCAAGGCTAGTATAGTATGAATGGTCAGGTAGTTTAAATGTGTTTTCCCACGTGGAATAGGAGATATTAACTGTTTTTAAAGCTTTACATTATTTTTTCACGAGAATTTGTTTTCCTGTAATTTTCTTCACAGTTAAAATATCCTAATTTATATTTTAACAAAAGAGATGTAAGATACATCAAGTATAGATGATTCAAGGTAATGTTTTTTAGACCTGAAACCATTATTGATTCAACTTATCATCAGTGTTTATTTCTATTGTATCTAGTTATCTATCCAAATAATTGTATTGGCTTAGTGGAGACTGTATGTTAAGTGTATTAGTTTTAGATTGTGAAATTGTGCAGTTTAGGTAAACATCAAATCCCTTTATTTTTGTACAGCAGATTTCCAGCATTAGAACCATGTAGAACAAATATACTAGATGTTAAAGATTACACAATAAAGGAACTTGGCAAACCAAATCTGAGATCCTTGCTTTTTGTTCAGATTTAAGACTTTTTTTTTTTTTTTTAAGGCAAAAAAGTAATAGATGGTAAAAATTTGGCCTTTATTCTAAAAGGACAGTTTGAACCATTTAAAGAAATATTATGGGTAGCCATGTCTTCTTTAAAAATTTTGAGGCCTGATTGAAGGATGAATCTTTGTATGCATTGTTATTTTCAAAGGTATTTACAAATTGAGAAGCAGAATGATGATTTCTTGCCCCACTAATGATGAAGAAAATACCATTTCTTACTGTAAACATTGAAAAACAAAAACTCAACAAAACTTGAACATATAACTTACAAATAGTTTTGACTGGAATTTGCATGTGGAGTATGTGTGCTAAAACTGCAAGTGAAGACTTTATACTTAGAGGAATAGTTTTAGAGTTCTTTGTAAGGTTCTTTGTTCATAATTTTTTATATTCTGTGATGTGAATAACAGTATGCATCTGCACAACAGCACTACAGATCATATTGCTGTGCCCTTTTAATAACTGGATATTTTAAAATTCTTGTAAATGCAGTTGTATGGTTTATCAGATGGTTCTCTTTTTAAGCATTGTGTAAGGAAATTTAGGCCTTTTCTATTCAAGGCTTTGTTCAAGTAATCAATGAAGGAAATGGTATTATATATCTATACAGTATATTGTTTAAAGATACTTTAGAGAAGAATTAAACTGAGACAGTGATGTTCAAGTACATAATCTGTGCATGCTATTTAAGTATCATTTTACAAATATAAATATATACATAAAGTAATTGAGTTAGTATATAATCTATAAATTCCCCTGTAATTAAGGGTTATTATTTTCAAATCTTGAAATTGTTTGTTTTTTAAATTCCACGCAGTGTATTATATAGGGCAAAGTTCAGGAAACATGTTTCCAGTCTAAAGAGAGAAGTGATGTAAGAAGTAACTAGTTGACATCTTAAGAAAGGATATTCTCACTTGTGCACACATATCCTTGATTATATAATATGCTGATTTAACATGAAATATTTTTTCATATTTTAGTTTTGATTTGAAGTTAATCTTATGTGTCATTTTGTGCATTTTTTGTCATAAATCTTCAAAGGTCAACCTTTTTTTTTTTTTTTTTTTTAATGATACCAGATTAGAAATATCTCAGATGTGGTAAATGCCATCTTTAAAAAGCTAGGTTATCTTTGTTTCGGTTTTCTTTTTAATTAAATTTGGATAACACTTACAAAAAAAGTACTTCTGATTCCCAGAAATCATAAAGAAGCAGGGGGAAGGCGTCCCCGACTTAGTCCATGTGATGCGCACATTAGCGAGTGAGAACATCCCCAGCCTCCCACCAGGGGGTGAATTGGCAAGCAAGTAAGTTACATTCTGTACACTCTTACGCTTTATGTCAGTGTATGAAAATGTTAGGTATTCATTGATAAAATGTGTGTTTACCTAATTTCTGAACTGATGCATTTGTCTGTGTTTTAACCTGTGATTTCAATTTTTTTTTAGTGTTAGACTATCTAGAGCTTGTTTAGACTTAGATATCAGTATCATTGTAACTAATTGCAGTGAGGGTTGTCTTTATTGGAAGTTTGGTTGGCATTGATTTCCTCATAGAGCATAAATGAGGTAATACACTGAAAGAATTTTTAAACTAAATTACATAGCACTACATTAAAAATTTACAAAATTCTAAGTGTCATCATTAGTAGTGGTATAATTTGATTTGGTCAATCTCTGAGTAATTTAACACCCTGAAAATTCCCTTTCCTCTTATGGACGATGTTTCTATGTCTGATTTTCCCAGTGTTTTTGGTTGTTGATTGCTGGTTAGTTGGTTTTAGGTGTCAGGGAAGAAGAATATATTTCTTGTCTTTTCCCTTTCCACTTCAGTTCATAGAATTGGACTACTTTGTGTTAAATATTAAGGTTACATCTTTACATAATGAAGTGGAAAATTCAAGCAGTTCCAAGGCTTAAAACATTTTTACCTCAAATATCCATATAATTGACTTACAAAGATAAAACTTGCAAATACCTTTGTCTTGAATTTGGATATAGAGTAAATGTGCTAAAACTACAAGTGAAGACTTCTTGTACTTACAGTGAAGATACATTATTGACTAATTTTCTCGATTCTCTACCGTGTTTTGCAAGTGTGACCATGTTCTTTGTAATCACTAAATAGTGATTGTAGAACTTCCTGTTTGAAGCTTTTATTTCTTGGAAACTTTTTTTCCATACGGCTTTCTATGAAACGATCTATAAAATTGCGTCAAATCAACTTTAGAAGTAGGGAGACTATAACTTGTAAATACACTACAGATTTTTAATAAAGTGTTACTCAAAACTAATTCCTAGACTTGTCATGGAAATGTCTTATTTCACATTTCAGTTTTAATAGAACTATTAAAAAGGGCATTAAGAAAAGTAGAAGCTTTATAAAGTATACTCTGATTCTTCAAAACTACAATGCAACTCTTACCTAGCTTATGTTAGTATTGTATCTTAAGAATGGCATTGCCATTGATGACTCATAACCATTTAAACCAGTTCAAATGGAGATAGACTATATGGACTTTTTTTTTTTTAATCTGTAATTTTTAGCCTTCTATTAACTGGGTTGGTAGAGTGTTATAAGACGTTTTAGAGTGAACTCACCTCTACTTAACATAGGGGCCCAAATATCTTAAAGTGAGGCTCACTGTTGACAGCAAGAAATAGAACTAAAATAATTTCTGAGTATAAGATTATCTTAGAAATTTTAATAAACACCTGGCTATGAGTTATTAAGCAGTGTTTTGCTTTCTGAAGAATTAATTTTCTGCATTTTTTTACACTTAGGAGGAATGTTATTGAAGCCGTTTACAATAGACTGAATCCTTACAAAAATGATGACACTGTAAGTAGCATTTTAGCTCCCTCTGCTTTCCTTTCCCCTCCACTCTAAATGCATATCCTTCCTACCTGTTTTTGCAGAGCTGTTCACTGTACCCATTCTCTTACACACACCCCTGATTGATTGCTTTGAACTCTGCTTGCTCTGATCTCTCCTGCACCACAGTTCTAGTGATTGAGGACATAATCATGGTGAGTGGCCACCTCTCTCAAAAAAAGAAGAAAGTCCTTTTGAATTATTCTGGATTTTTTAAGTCTTTACAAGCAGTCAACTTCAGAAGGTTTGCCTCCACTAAATGGTTTTTTTTTTTTTTCGAAGTTGGGACTATCTCTACTCAGAATCTTGTCTTATTCTGAGTTTTGTAAGCAGCTGCAGCAGAACTTCAGAATGTTTGTCTCCACTAAATAGTTTATATGGTTGGAATTACCTTTGTCAGGAATCCCGAAGTATACACTTCACTTAAATATTACAGAATTGTTTGCATAAATAGATATTAGAATGCCATACTCTCCAGTTAAGTGTTCTATTGCAATTCTGTTGTATGATGTTTATAGAAAAGTGATAACTTAAAAATCATGTGGGCACAGCTCTGAAATATTTTATGTATTGCATTATGAAGCTTCTTCACATCTCATCTTACTTGAGTTCTTAATCTTTTCTGATGTGATAAAGGTTTGTAAAAGTGGTATTCTAAAACTGTATTGGATTTCATTAAAGAAAAAATTCTTTTTAATATATTTATTGATTTAGTAATAATAAATTTGGTCAGCCTCACCATAAAACCATATTTCAAATATTTTCCAAAAACGAAACAAAGGATTAACAATTATTTGAACAGATTAAACATTGATATTTCATATATACACATATATACTTATATACTTTAAAAAACATTTATTTTCTAAAAATCATCTTTACAGAACATTATCTTTCTCCATTATCTAGAAAGTATGGTGTATTTTGGCACTGCTAAATTTTAACATTGTTCTTGTTTTGCTTCCTTTTATGAAGGACTCTACATCAACAGATGATATGTGGTAAAACTGCTCATCTAGTCATGGAGTTTACCTTCACCTCCAAAGGAGAGTACAGCTCAACTTTGTTGAACCTTTTAACATCCATCCTCAACTTTAAGGAAGGGGATATGACATGGGTGAGAATGATTACATCAGAGAACTTCAGCAGTACAACAGCTAGCCCAGAACTGATTTTTTTTTTTTTTGTAAATTTGAGACTTATGTAAACGTGATTTCAAACCATAATTCATGTTGTAAATCAGACTCCAGCAATTTTTGTTGTATGATTTTGTTTTTTTGTAAAGTGTAATTGTCCTTGTACAAAATGCTCATATTTAATTATGAACTGCTTTAAATCACTATCAAAGTTACAAGAAATGTTTGGCTTATTGTGTGATGCAACAGATATATAGCCGTTTCAAGTCATGTTGTGTTTGGACTTGGGGTTGGAACAGGGAGAGCAGCAGCCATGTCAGCTAGACGTTCAAATGTACAGATGATTATGGAAAATAATCTCAAAATCTTAAACAAAGCTGAACATCCAAGGAGTTATTGAAAACTATCTTAAATGTTCTTGGTAGGGGAGTTGGCATTGTTGATAAAGCCAGTCCCTTCATTTAACTGTCTTTCAGGATGTTCCTTCGTTGTTTCCATGAGTATTGCAGGTAATAATACAGTGTATTCATAAGAATCTCAATCTTGGGGCTAAATGCCTTGTTTCTTTGCACCTCTTTTACAAGTCCTTACATTTAATTACTAATTGATAAGCAGCAGCTTCCTACATATAGTAGGAAACTGCCACATTTTTACTATCATGATTGGCTGGGCCTGCTGCTGTTCCTAGTAAGATATTCTGAATTCCATTTTATCAATAAAGCTTGATTTAACAAACAAGAAATTTAATCATGTATGTGTAATTCCTCTTTTACCCCGGCCTTTTAAAACACTGTGCCATTGTAATGAGACGTTTCTCATAGGGAAAGATGTTAGTCTCTTTTAATTGGACAACACTGTTACTCAAGGCATAGATGAAAGTGTTTCCTTCCATTAGAAAGACTAAAAGATTTAATTCTTGGTTGTACCTTAATCTATTTTTTATATAGTTTCTTTCAGGCTGCTTATTTTTCATTAAGATGTGTATCAGCTTGGATTTGCCTCAGTTTAATTAAAATAATTGTCAAAGTTTGACAATCTAACACTCTATGGTAGGGGTGTGTGTGTGTGTGTGTTTGTGTGTGTTTGCCCGTGATTTTTAATTGACCCATGTCTTTAGAATCCAAGTGGTTAAGATGTATTTGTGATTTGAAATATAGCATGTTGATAATATTTAGCCGTTGGCCTTTACAAATAACTTTCAAAGCTTAAGGAATTGTAGATGTAAAAATAACCTAATTTAATTTAGGCTTAAATTCCTCTGATTAAGCATGTGAAAGTAAGTTTTAAAATCTGTCACATTGAAAAGATTACTGTTCCGTGCCCTTCTGTATTTTTGTCTCTTTAGGTTGAATATTGTATTTATCACCATGTAATCATTCAGTAGGCAGATTCCCACTAGAAAACTATTAAAATGTAAGACTAAAATACAACATTGAATACAAAATCAAAACTTTGTGTATAAAAACCAGTATAGTCCATTTTGTTATATTTGTTTTTTCCCTAACTTGGAAATATACATATTTGTATATATAGCCTTAAAATTAATGTAAAGTTAGGGGAGTAGTGGGGAAAGTAATGTGAAATGTCTCAGATTTAAGTAGTTAAATACCAGCAAAATTTTTTCATTATCCCTCTTATTTTGTGAGGTGATTAAATGTAACTTAATTGTATTTAATTTATATCTTATTCCAGCATGAATGAAGAAAAACTGAAGTACTATTTATATTTAGGAATTCGTATCAGTTGAAATTACAGAACCAATTCCATACTTACAATAAATACTTAATGTCTAAATCTGTGGTAGAGTGCGAAGTATGATAATGTTCTAAGTTATGGCTTTGCAAGTATCTAAATGTGCATTTAATGAATACCAGTGCTTGTATTATAGACTTAATTACCAGACATACTGGTACTGAAAGCTAAATCCCTATTATAACAAGCCAGTTCCTTAATATTTTAAGTAGACAGTTTTAGTTCCAGAAATTGCAAAACTTTGAACTGGACTGTATAATCTTTTGAGATGCACAACTTAAATCACAAGTAAGAGTATGTGATGGAAAGCTATATTTCAAACCATAACAGCATATTTACGGCCTTTTTTTGTTTTGAGTCTTTAAACAAGAGAAAATTAAAATATTCCTGTCAAAATTATTAGTATTGAAATTAGGCTTGGAAACAAGAGAGAACTGTATTTGAGTGATCTCAGAAGACTAAATCTTTTCCACATGAATCAGCACTGCCATACTAATAATTTTTTTACTATAAAAATACAGGAAGGAAGTATACATTATAACAGCGACTGTTCCTGATTCCTGGAGGTAATAGTGGGGGAAACCAACAGTACGTTTTAAAGGCACTTTTGCACCTCTACTGTGCACTTCATTCTTGTACCACTTAAATTCTTCACCCTCATCCCCTTTTTTTGTGCTAATTAGCATCTCAGGGCAATGCCTCAAAAATGTTTGATGTGTTCTGTTCTCTGGAGGGAAAAAGTTCTTGTGTGATGATAATATAGTACTCAAAATATACTTTTATCACTTAAATGTCTTATTTGCTGCTATGAATAGGAAATAACATTTTGTATAGCAGGCTTTGTTTTACCCTAATATTAAAAAATTTCACTGACCTTTCATTGTTTTAACAGGGTAGAATCTCCTAATTTCCACTTTCTTGGGAATATACTTTTATAGACAATAGAAGCAGTTATCAATATGAGCGCTTACTTTAAAAAAATCAAAGTGATACTTAATTCAGCTTTGGAAGTATCTCAAACACTTACTTTATAGTGCATTAACTTGCTTCTAGAGTACTTAATGCAACTGCTCTAGCCACTTAGTTTTTTATACTAATCTCAACATTAAGAAATTTGGATTAAGTAATAAATTAGTTATGTAATTCAAGTAATCTGAATTACAGCAGTACTTTTAGTGATCATTCATATGACCATATATTAACCCAGCTAATAACTCAGTTTTTTTTACAAAATGTTTCGAGTATTATCGGTAAAACACTGTTCTAGGCTAAGCACCTTGGGACTGTAAAGAAATGAGTAGATCCTTGGCTTCAGGTTTACATTTGGACAATTTATAATCTAGTGTATGTTAGTATTATAACTGGATCACTCATCAAAAAAAAAAAAAAGCTATTACCCACCCGTTACCTACCAGGTACTTAGCTAATCAAGGCAGGCCCCTGCCCTAAAGAGCTTATTTATAAACTTCCTTTACTCACCTGAAAACTCTTCTCCAGTTTATTTTCTTCTCTCCAAAGTTAAAAATCATTCAGAAGAAAATTTTGCTTAGTATAAGAATAAAATTGGATTGAAGAGGCTTAAGCCCATTCAGTATGCTTGATTGCATTTATCGAATGGCCTTTATTCTTCCTGCTGACAGCAGTAACTCAGAGGAATAGGTAATAGATTTCTGAAAATTCTCCAGCCATGGAAATGTAGGTGGGGTTTGAGTTTAAGGCATTTAAAAATGTAAATATCTCTAGCTAAATTTATCTTAGGTAGAACTCTGTGTTTTTGTAACACACTGCCAGTGTTAATGTCAAATTTTAACCAAATTATTACTATGTTTTAATATTTTAAAATAATTTCACTGCCCATCTTTACTGGACAAACTCATTTGGAGTTCAACTTGTGATTTCTGAAAGAACTGATGAAATTGGGTACTGCTTTTTTTCTCCATTTTTTGTTTTAATTTTGAATTTCATGGTATATACTTTTAGTTCAAACTTGGCTGTTTGTACAGTATTAGGATTTCGTATTAGAAAATATGTGTAAATATCTTAGTATATAATTGTTTCTCATTTGAGGTTTTTCTTCTAAGGGACCTTAAAGAGTTTTATATACTTTTGCTCACAGATACTGCTAGTGAGATTACCATTTTTTCAGTATCTAGTCTTCTAGTTTTTCTTTTAGGCATTAGGAAGTCTTCTTAAGAGTTCAAAATTTTAGAAGCCTAATTTGGTGTTACTTCCTTCAATTATGTGCCATGTGTTTTGGTTTATATATGTTTTAAATTGTATATTACCTTGGAATATGCTTGAAATATTTAAGAATACATTTTCAAAATGTATAATACTGTATTGTTTTGTTGATCAAAATAATAAGTCTCAGTTAAATGTTAGTTATTACTGATAGTCAAAACGCTCAATAGAAATGATGAGAGGCATTGGTTCCAGTTCATTGTCAAATGAACATTTTGTAATTTTGTTCACAGGTTCTTTCCCTTTCAGTTGTTCTGTATATTAAGATAGTGGCTTCTGCTCTCACTGTTTTCCTATTTATATTACTAGCAGATAGGAGTGCTAATTAGAAAAACTTATAATGGTATTGAAATTGCAGTCGACAACTTATATTTTTATGAGATGGAGAAAAAGGATTGTTTAAGTTGATAATGTTGACTTTTTTTCTTCCTTATCCTGCACGAAATATTGCCCTCGTTTCCTCTACTTTCCTCTTGGTGTTTTCTCTTTTTTTCAAACAGAAACAGGACAATTCCATTTTCTTGAGCAAGAAAGCTTAGTGTGTTACTTCATCAAGGCCAGCTAATACTGTGTTAAACCAGGCTGAAAATGAGAAAACTTGGGAGATGGAGGAATGGGGAAATGGCAGTGGGATAGCTAGGGAAGGATTACTCTTAATTGTTTTAAAAGCCATAGGAAAGTCTTCCTTGTACCTGGCTGTAAATTTATAAGAACGATTGTGTCACATAAACCAACAAGAATCAACCTTTGCTGCTTCAGAAAATTTGATTTTTCCAGCAAGGAAATTAATAAGAGTTACTGATTCTTCGTCATAGAAACAACTGAGAAGAATTAATACAATGTTTCTTCACTAGAAAACCCAACCCTTCATTTCTTTTCATTGCTCCAAAACCCAGTTTTCAACTAATGGTTTTCTCATTAAACTAAATGTTTAGAAAAATTGTTTAGAGTTTTTCTTTTATATAGTCCTCCTGATCCAGTATAAGACTATTTAGTAACGTGCATTTGTATGGTACTATCTAAAGTAAGTTAGATTGATGTAAGAGATTGGGTAGCTGCGGAACAAAATTAGTTATATCCTAATTAGGTACAGTGAATGACACAAAATCATTTTAGCAATGCTTCTTTTGGGGTCACCAGGCCTTGTGAGACTGATGAATCCTAGGGACTCCTTTACCCAGGAAAATGCATATATAACATACATATCTCACTAAAGTTTACAATATTGTAGTGGTTCATGGACCCCATGGTTAAGAGCCCATTCTAAAGTACAGTAGGGCATCATCCCTTTTCCTGCAAAGCCCAAAAATATATTTCAAGGGCATGAAAATAACTTGAGTGTATTTTAAGGAATTGTTTCACTCTAGAGGTAGATGGAGGGCCTGGCTAGAATCTGACATTAAAATACACTTTTTTAAAAATACTATATTTGGGGGGAGAGTGATTAAAAGGTGAAAAAAACATAGTATTCAGAAGTTTTGGAGATTAATGTCTTTCTGTAAGATTTGCCACTTTAGAAATTCAATAGGAAAGAGAGAAAACAGAAATTGAATGTATCTGGAACATTTTTGGCCTTCATAGTGCAGATATACTATGTTAACAAGTAATACATTTACCTGTCAGATCTCCAGGTTTTAAGGTTTTGAGCTTTCTAGTATTAGAATTCATTAAATGTTTAATTCATTTCATATTCTAAGGAATTAGGTTATTTACGTACTAATTCAGGATGTTAAAATAACATCCAACACAGACAACCACCACCAATGCACAGAGTTAATGAGATTCCTAAAATATAGTTAAGTACAATGTAACAAACAGAATTTTGCATTTGTTGCCAAAATCAGATGTTTAATTACAGCTTATTGCCATTTGTGGGACTTCTGGAACACAGAAACCATTGTCTTACCTGGTTATCCCTTGACTAAATAGCATATCTGCAGGAAAGTACCTTGTTTGTAGTGATATGCCCCAATACTGATTGATTTCACTCTTGAAATGAGTTATATCACTTAATTTGTATAAACGTTATGAGTGGAGAGACATGTACATGTTAAAAGCATGTTGCATTATATAGAGATTCATTTTTTAAACTCTATAAATGTTAAGACTAATATAATTGCAGAAATATTTTTCTTAACTACAGTGTGTAACAAAATTCTTCATAGCAACTCACCCACTTTGCAGTTTATGTGATCCACACTTTTAAAGAAATTCCATAAATGTATATTTTGTATTATGTATTATTTCCTGGTCCAAAGAAAATATGTGAATTCAGTTCTAACTTTAAGAATGTACTGTTTATTTTCAAGTTCATTGAAAAATTGCATTCAGCCTGCTAATGGTTGCAGATTGTATGTTAGATGAAAAGTAGAAATAATTTCTAGTTTGCAAAAGTGGTGCCACTAAATAAACAGGCAATTGCATAATGTGTGTGTATTTATGGTTGTTTAATATTGCAAGCAGCATTTTTATTCTAAGAAACCTGGAAAATTTGAAATTAGCTATTGGAAGACCTTAAAAGATTTTTTTTCAACTGAGAGATAAATCTGATAGAATTTGAACTAGATTTGTTCCTTCCTGATTTTAGGAAGTTTACTGAAAGCCAGAAAGTTTCAGTTGATGGTTAGTTGTCATGAAACATTCTAGAAATAAAGAAGCCAGAGTAATTTATTTTTGGTAAAAACATTCCCATTTGTCTGTCTTCTAATAGATGATTACTCCCTTGAAGAGTTGAAATTGGGAATTGGGAGTGGTCTGGGAAAGGACTTCCTCACCTAGTATCTGTGGTATAGTGCCTGCTTCAAAATGGCACTTTAATGTGTGTGTTTTTAGGATGCAGAAAGGAGGTGTTTATTTCCTCTGCCAGTTCTGATCATTGGCTATATTATATCCTGTGTTCATGTCTGAAAGTGACTTACCGGTTTAATTGATTCCAGTCATGGCTTCTATAATTAGAGAATTTTTAGAGTTGAACTGTTAATTAAAGTGAAATTCTGTGAGCCACAAGAGCTCATTTTTTTTTATTGTAAAATGTGTAATAGAACAGTAATGAAGCTTCATAACCAAAGGTAAAACGTCTTAGAACTGAGTAAGGTTAAGTAAGGCAAATAAGGTTTTATTTGATTTATATGTAAATGGAACCTCTTCACTCGTCAAATTGTATCATTCAGTTTTGTTCATGGGTTTTTTTGGGTTTGGGTTCCCCCTTCACCCTGCTTTGGAGCTTTTCTTTTGAATGTCGAAGCTACTTTAAGTTGTTTTATTTCTTTTTTCTTAATTTATTACTGAGAAACTTTTATTGGAGTGCCCTTCTCTTTTTCCTTTTTATCAATTAATAGTTCAAATTAAATTTCCCATCACTTAATAGCTCAGATTAAACTTCCCATCAAGTCCAATTTTATTATATTTGAAAAGTACTATATTTTTTAATGAATTACGCTGGGAAATTGGTTTGCATGCCCTCTATAGAACTTTGCTTACTTGCCACAAAACCAACAACTTACCAGATGTTGGTAAAAGATTTTGCTCTTCTGGCTGCCTGTTGTTTACATGAGCATTGTGTGTATTTCTTCTGATACCCTATCTAAGGTGATTCAGAGTGCCTGAATAGTGAATTAGCTAAACATTCAACATGTTTCTGTGATAGTTTAGATACAGGCTTGTGTCTTCCATACCAAAGCACTTCTCTATAGCTACACGAAAGTTTTTCCAGAAATCAATATGAACTAGCAACATTTACAATATTTTGATTTTTGATCTACAAAAATGGCAGTTTTATCTAATTTAATTTGTTTCTGAAATTGTTATTCTTGAATGATCAGATTGCAAGTCAGTATTTGGTACTTCTCTCATTATTTTAAGTCTTTTAAGAACTGGATGAGACATTTAAAGAAAAGCTGTGTATAATTGGACAAATTTCCAAATGTGAGGCTTGAAAATACACAAATCAAATGTGTACAGATGCTCTAGCATTAGGTCAACATCAGTATGAGAAATGTTATTCCAGCAGTGACTGGGAAAGGAAAGGTTGCTGAATTTAAGTGTTCAGGGAGGAATATAATAAAGACTAAAGATGGGGGAAATGATTTTAAGGATTTATTTTGAATTACGTAATTGAGGTGAGTAGAGAGTTCCTTCTAATATTTTATTGGGGTGTTGACATGTGGATCCAATTTAGACTGTGACTTGGAGACATCAGTGAGTAACTCTCTGAAAATAATTGTTCTTTAAAGTGCAGTCTTTGTTAAAAGTGACTGAGGGCTCTAACTTTGTTCTCGGTGTCAACTCAAACTCTGACTTAGGCTATGGCCATGCTGCACCTTTTCTAAATGTATTTTTTGTATTTTATTTTACTATTTGTGTTTGTCTTGGTAACAGCTAAAAATTATCTAGTATTAAAATCAAAGCATTTGCTAGAAGAGTGTCACTGTTCTGGGTCAAAGGGATTAGATGTGTACCTTACATTAGCATACTGAAACCATTCAGGGATTGTTCTTCTAATTCTATGTGACAGTCTTGAATGTATATTTGATTCTATTAATATTTAACGAAAATATTTTTGTGAAGATTCACTGTAAATCATAAGAGCAGAGCTATTCTCAATTATTTTAGCTATTGAACTTTTAACTGCCTACTAACAATGCTGAAAGGGTTTTTTAACTAAAAGTTTCCAGAACAGTCCTAACAAAAAAATTTTCTAGTAATTGGATACAGTGGAGGCACATAAGTGGCTTTTTAAACTTATTAGGCATAGCGAATAAGTCTTCATGCACTTGGTATAAGTTTGACTTTTATAACTGTTCACCTTTCCTGATGTATTTTAACAGACATATCCTGCTGCAATGATCCTAAATAAAATGAAAGCAGTCTTAGCATTTGGTAAGGCCAGTGAAACTGTTTTTGTTCCTAGATCACAGAAAAGAAACTCCCTGGGTATCCTTCCTTAGAATTTACTTTCACGTCTGAAATCAGGATGCTTGCTTTTTGTTGTTGCCTTCTTTCTTTTTGTTTTAAATGTATAGGTCCCCAGGCCACATTCTGTTTTAGGGCTTCTGTAAGTACTCTTAGGAAAGTAAGTCATGAAATTCTGCCTCCTCGAATTTCATAAAGGATTTGTTTGCCATGTGCTCTGTCCTGATTTCTGCAACATATCAAATAAGCTAGACTGTTGAATGACAGTCTGGTTTTAAGTGTATTACATATGCATGTATAAATATCCTTGTTCAAGGTCAACTCTACAGTGACTGTCAGTAGTGTTACTGGTTCAACTTGACCTTCAGAGGTTTCCCTGCTTCACGACCAGATGGATTTGGCATCTGACAGGACCGCAGTGTCAGTAAAAGCTTCATCCCAAGAGGAGCAGGGTTCCAAGAAGGAAACTTCCTGGAGGGCAAGTCTCCATAATTTGAGATAAGGAAGAATACAGTAGCAATTTTTGAAGATCATGTGGTCGGTTCTCTGAATCTCTTGGAACCATCTTTGATATTTTAGTTTCTTGGACTGAATGTCACTTTTGTTCAAAAATCCTTTGGGTATAAAAATTTGAATATGTGAAAATGTACTTTTTAATCTTAGAATATGTGATTTTCTTCGACTTTAACTCAAAGTCATTTAATGAAGTTGGCATTTTTCTGCTTGGCAAGGGAGGAAGAGGAAAAGGGAAGGTGGAAGAGGGGAAGAAAAGGAGATAAATACTAAGGGCAAGAAAGAAGTGTTGTTAAAAGTGAAAAAGAAGGTATGTTTTCTAAAAGTTAGGAAAATCATATTTTTATGAAATTAGCCACCTTATAAATCATCCTTATGTTTTATAGCAGTCTCTAATGCTTGGAAAATTAGTCATGTCTCTTCCCCACCCCCCATCCCGCATTATGTTTTTAACTCTCCCCTCCAGAGGGGGTGAGTTAGGGGGAGGAGGAAATAATGCAACTTTGATTGTCAACTGTCATAGGTTTGATTAGCAAAGCGATTAAAACTAGGTTTAAAATAAAGGATTGCAGATTTCCCTTCTGTTATCGATTCCCTGACTTCTCTGAAGTAGTGGTTCTCAACCTGCCAGCAAGGTAGAGTGACCTGGGAAGCTTTAAACATCCTTTGGCAGTGAAGGTTAAGTTGGAAGGTTCAGCTGAAAATTACCCCTCCCCTCATCCTCAGTGAATCCCTGCATCCTCCCTGTGCCTGCTCAGATCATGTCATTCCTCTGTTCAAATCCCAGCCACTCAGAGAAAGCCAGCGTCCTTATAGTGGCCTGCAAAGCCCCGTATCTTATCTGGTCCCTGTGACCTCTTGAACTCACCTTCCTCAGTCTGCTTTTGATGTACTGGTCTTATGGCTGACCTCAGAACAGGCCTGTCCCACTCAAGCCCTAGGGTCTTACAGGCACTTGGCTCTAGCTGTTCCCCCTACCTGAATTGTTTCATTGGCCAAAGCAAGTCACATTGGCAGTTCAGGAGGGCCTGAAAGAACAAATCAAAATATTTGTGAACAAGCCTAGTCTCTACTGTGGTGTTCAATGTGTATTTGATGACTGAAGAAGATTGTGCATCTGTGTGTGTCTATAGAAGATGAGATTGGCATTCTATTTTTGCCAGGAGACATAGTCTTATTTGAACTGGGCTATTTGAGATGAGTGCTGGTAGCAGAGAGGCTGGGACCACATGAAATGGTCTCATTATAAGGACTCATAATTAGGAGGAGGTTCATGTTCCTGCATTTGTGGGGGAGTGGGAACACCCGGCTTTAAAGGCAAGGTTAAATTTGCATAGGCAGAGCTAAGTAGAAAGAATTTTCCAGCATAGGAAACAGGTATGCATTACGTAGAGAAGGCAGCAGAGGCCAGTGATGATAGTGTTCTTGCCAGGAACTTTCTGCACTTAGATTCCCTAAGGGGGTCAAGAGAGAGGTTTAGATAAAGTGTATCCCTAAGAAAAAGCCTGCTTTTTATGTCCTTTGCTTTTTGAAAAGAGCTGTCACTGTTTGTAGGCATCCCAGTTATGAAAAACGCTGCTTATCTCAAATCAGCTTTACTCTCCAGTGGCATTTTAATAATACATGGAGAAGTTGTTCTCTCACCCAGTACAGTGATGCCCCCAACCTAGCAGCCTTTAAATGATTTTGGCTGATTGTCCAGTCAGGAAAATTCACCTGAGTGGAGTGTTCTGGGCTGTAGAGAGACTTGGCAGTGGTCCTGACAGACCTGTAAGTCCACAGTAGGAAACATTCTTCATTACCATAGCTGAGTACCATGTAGCTGGCCTGGCTAGCATCTGGCCAGCATGTGCCAGGAGAAGTGGTTTAATTTTAACGGTGCACTTTGAGAGCGTGCGTGGGAGCAGAGAGACTGGGGCCACATAAGGCTTTTTGAGGCTTCCTGTTTGCTCTTGCTTCAGTGCTGCTGCTGCACGCTACCACCATTCTCCCATCCTCCAAA